AAGAGTTGGTTTGAAATAATACCACTGATTAACACAGCACACTTGACCTATATTGATTTGTAGATCTAATCACAAGGTGAGCACGTTTTTCACTCTTTTGTGGACTTGTAAAGTATCTATGGATAGACATATCAATCACTGAGGGTTTTTTATTTGTACTTATTTTTGTATTGAGAGATTTAAGGGATAGCGCACCACATGGTTGGTATTTACTCATGTTTGGTGTGTTGGAGTGCACAATATTAGTGGTTGCAACAATCTTTGTTTTGAGATATAGATTTTACTCCTTTTCTGTTACTCCTTACTTAGAGACTGCAGTGTTACCTTCTGAAATGTTTAGTAAATAATCTGGGTCAGTGATGAGGTGATATTGTAAGGCGAGCATAGCAGACAGGTAACTGAGAGCAATGGATATAATCGCCCCTGTTACACTGTAGACCACCCATTGCTGAAGTTGTGGATGACTTCTAGTCGGGACAGTTGAAAGAGATCCTCTTGAGGATTGTACGAGGTTTCAAAGATTATTTCTAATTTCTGACATCCTTTTGCCTTGGAATACATCACATTTTACATTTATTCATTCATTGTATGTATTAATTGTGTATCGCTGTATGTTATGTGCTTGTGTGTGTTCACTGTCTAAGCAGTTTTGTAGTATACCAACCTTGTGTTTTGGATTTTCTACAGTATAGCAGGCTTTTGTATGACTAGATGAATAGCATTTCCGTCAAGGCTTTTTTGGAAAAATTGTTTCCTGTTGTTGCGGAAGACAATATTTCCTAACGGATTTCCTTTTCTGCATTACTTTACACTGCCATTTGTAACTACAAAAAATAAAAAAAAATACAAATCTGCACAAATAAAAATCAGTAACTAAGTGTACAACTGCTGTATCAAACACCAGTGGTGCTAAAAACAAAAATGAAGTGAATCTAAACAGAACAGCACTTTATGCTGCAAAACTCAATATACAAGTGTTAAATGTCCAAGAAAATGTCCAAATAAAGAAACCCAAAAAAGTAAGGTGTGATGCTTCTATAAGACAAATAGATATGTGCTCCGTTCCACTATGCTGATAATAAACAATCCCCGCTCACTGCCATGGTGGTTCTGGCTCTCTTCCATCCTTGGTTCAGTGTTGATTACATCCACAAACAAAATTCAAGTTTCTTGTTCGCACAAGAGGTCAAATTGGTCCGGTGAGTGTGGATTGTTTTTTTATGAGCACGGTGTAACAGAGCACATATCAATTTATCTTCTAGAAGCATGTGGGTGAATTAAGGACACAGCACACCATGCATTTTTTTTAAATTTTTTTATTTGGATGTTTTATTGGACACTTATCACTTGCATATTGAGTTTTGTAGTATAAGTGCTGCTGAGATATGCACTATATTGCCAAAAGTATTTACAGGCACATGAACTTCAATGGCATTCCAGTTTTAGTCCATAAGGGTCAATATTGAGTTGGCCCTCTTTTTGCAGCTATAACAGCTTCAACTCTTCTGGGAAGGCTGTCCACAAGGTTTAGGAGTGTGTCTATGGGAATGTTTGACCATTCTTCCAGAATTGCATTCTTGAGCTCAGGCACTAATGTCGGACGAGAAGGCCTGGCTCGCAGTATCCTCTCTAATTCATCCCAAAGGCGTTCTGTCCGGTTGAGGTCAGGACTCTGTCTAGGCCAGTCTAGTTCCTCCACCAAACTCGCTCATCCATGTCTTTATGGACCTTGCTTTGTGCACTCGTGCGCAGTCATGTTGAAACACAAACTGTCCCCACAAAGTTGAGAACATGAAATTTTCCAAAATATCTTGGTATGCTGACGCCTTAAGTGTTCCCTTCACTGGAACTAAGGGGCCAAGCCCAACCCCTTAAAAACAACCTCACACCATAATCTCTCCTCCACCAAACTTTATACTTGGCACAATGCAGTCAGGCAAGTACCGTTCTCCTGGCAAACGACAAACCCAGACAAGTCCATCAGATTGCCAGACAGAGAAGCGTGATTCTTCACTCTCGAGAACACGTTTCCACTGCTCTAGAGTCCAGTGGCAGCGTGCTTTGCACCACTGCATTCGCCGCTTTGCATTTCACTTGGTGATGTAAGGCTTGGATACAGCTGTTCGGGCCATGAAAACCCATTCTATGAAGCTTTCTATGCACTGTTGTGCTAATCTGAAGGCTGCACAAAGTTTTGGAGGTCTTTAGCTTTTGACTCTGCAGACGGTTGGCAACTTCTGCGCACTGTGCTCTTCAGCATGCGCTGACCCCACTCTGTCATTTTATGTGGCCTACCGCATCGTGGCGGAGTTGCTGCTGTTCTCAGTGGCTTCCACTTTCTAATAATACCACTAACAGTTGGCCATGGAGTATTCTTGCACAAATGTTTGTAGAAACAGTTTGCATGCCTAGGTACTTGATTCTATACGTCTGTGGCCATGGAGGTGATTGGAGCACCTGAATCCAATGATTTGGAGGCATGTCCCAATACTTTTGGCAATATAATGTACTTAATTTTCATTTGAAACTACAGCCTTGACCTTTTTAGTTGTATCAGTAAATAATGTTTATGCATGTAACAATACAGATACCATGAAAGGAAATACAAATGGATGTAGCATATTGATAACGGAAAGAAAAGTGTATTTTTTAGGAGTGCATATTTTGTTTATTGCATTTTGGTGTGACTTTTTTTTTTTACACGCACACTCATCCATATTTGTTATTGCATGTAATATAGAGATTTGTAAATCAGTCACTTTTATTACTTTAGAAATGTATGTATATATTAGTATATTAGAGTATCTCACAGAAGTGAGTACACACCCCTCACATTTTTGTAAATATTTTATTATATCTTTTTATGTGACAACACTGAAGAAATTACTGCAATGTAAAGTAGTGACTGTACAGCTTATATAACAGTGTAAATTTGCTGTCCCCTCAAAATAACTCAACACACAGCCGTTAATGTCTAAACTGCTGGCAAACGTGAGTACACCCCTAAGTGAAAATGTCCAAATTAGGCCCTATGTCAATATTTTTTGTGGCTGCCATTATTTTTTAGCAGTGTCTTAACCCTCTTGAGAATGGAGTTCAGCAGAGCTTCACAAGTTGCCACTGGAGTCCTCTTCCACTCCTCCATGATGACATCACTTAGCTGGTTGATGTTGGAGACCTTGAGCTCCTCCACCTTCCATTTGAGGATGCCCCACAGATGCTTAATAGGGTTTAGGTCTGGAGACATGCTTGGCCAGTCCATCACCTTTACCCTCAGCTTCTTTAGCAAAGCAGTGGTTATCTTGGAGGTGTGTTTGGGGTCGTTATGTTGGAATACTGCCCTGCAGGCCCAGTCTCCGAAGGGAGGGGATCATGCTCTGCTTCAGTATGTCACAGTACATGTTGGCATTCATGGTTCCCTCAGTGAACTGTAGCGCCCCAGTGCCAGCAGCACTCATTCAGCCCCAGACCATGACACTCCCACCACCATGCTTGACTGTAGGCAAGACAAACTTGTCTTTGTACTCCTCACCTGGTTGCCTCCACACACGCTTGACACCATATGAACCAAATAATCTCATCAGACCACAAGACATGGTTCCAGTAATCCATGTCCTTAGTCTGCTTGTCTTCAGCAAACTGTTTGCGGGATTTCTTGTGCATCATCTTTAGAATAGGCTTCTTTCTGGGACAACAGCCATGCAGACCAATTTAATGCAGTGTGCGGCGTTTTGTCTGATCACTGACAGACTGACCCCCCACCCCTTCAACCTCTGCAGCAATGCTGGCAGCACACGTACGTCTGTTTCCCAAAGACAACCTCTGGATATGAACGCTGAGCACGTGCACTCAACTGTTTTGGTCGACCATGGCAAGGTCTGTTCTGAGTAGAACCTGTCCTGGTAAACTGCTGTATGGTCTTGCCACCGTGCTGCAGCTCAGTTTCAGGGTCTTGGCAATCTTCTTATAGCCTAGGCCATCTTTATGTAGAGCAACAATTCTTTTTTCAGATCCTCAGAGAGTTCTTTGCCATGAGGTGCCCCATGTTGAACTTCCAGTGCCCAGTATGAGAGAGTGAGAGCGATAACACCAAATTTAACACACCTGCTCCCCATTCACACCTGAGACCTAGTAACACGAACGAGTCACATGACACCGGGGAGGGAAAATGGCTAACTGGGCCCAATTTGGACTTTTTCACTTAGGGGTGTACTCACTTTTGTTGCCAGCAGTTTAGACATTAATGGCTATTTTGAGGGGATAGCAAATTTACACTGTAATACAAGCTGTACACTCACTACTTTACATTGTAGCAAAGTGTCATTTCTTCAGTGTTGTCACATGAAAAGATATAATAAAATATTTACAAAAATGTGAGGGGTTTACTCACTTCTGTGAGATACTGTATGTGCATGTTCATATTACCTTAAGGTGGTTATAACCCTCACATATACCCAGTGAAGTTACTGTCCTTAGGTGATACACAGAAATGAAACAAATCATGCTACATTAGTTGTTTATCTGGCGCCATCTGTCCCTTACATCAATTCAAAGTACAGAATTTACACAGGATCACTCGACTCTGAAAAGCGGGGCGGGCAGCTGAAGTTACACACCACAGAGCATAGTGAGGGGATCTTTGAGAGCTGATTGAAGAGAAGGAACACACACCCCTCCACACAGCACACAGGAATAGGGCCGATGCTTTCAATCACAGGCTGGAGATTCCTCTCCTGTCACTTTTTTTCTCTTGGTGTCAGGAAAACTTGTCATGCAGATAGCAGAGGAACAAGGCAGCAGACAGAAATGGCTCTGCATTCATACAAGTACACACTATAGAGGAATATGCTTTGTTTGTATTTCATCTTAGAGGTTTACATGCACTTTAATGTTGTGTTTTTTATTTTTAATCTTACTTTGGAAAATTTGATTTAGATATTCTAAATTCACTTTCTGACTAGTGACTTGTCATTTGTTCTTTTTTGTTTTTTTCATTTTAGGCCTGAGTCAGAAGGAACAGAAGAGGGTGTGGTTTGCTGATGGATTATTGCCTAATGGAGAAGTTGCTGATACAAGTAAACTTGCTGCTGTTGGGAAAAAGTCCACACAGGATTCTGATGCAGCTGCTCCACTCTCTCCAGATTGTGCCTTGGTGAGACTTGCTGCTGGTGCTGTCCATTTACTGTAGTTGTGAGAAGCATTAACCCTTTTCTGAAGCTTAGATGCCCAAACTAAGAGTTTTTAGCAGTATTGGTTTGCTTGACAATAACTCTATTGCTAGTGATTCTAATTGACACCAGGGCTGAGAAGTAGAAACACAGTGTGCATTCCAAGTTCTCTACTACTAGGTTGCAAGGAACATTTTACAGTTGGACTTCTAACGTCGTATTGCAGTTACAAAAGGGTTATTATGGTTTCAGCATTTCATACTGGCATGTTGCTTGAGATTGGCTATAGACAAGCAGGCAGGTCTCTCATCAGTGAGCACCCTTTTCCTTTGCTCATCAATGATGCAAGAGAGATGAGGTAGTTATCTGAAGAGATAAAGGAAGAAGAACATTTGCAGGTATATATTTCTTTAACACCCTCCCTTTCCCATTTTCATGTCAGCCTTTACACTGCCTTATATTCACACATGAAGGGCAGATTGGTTGTATTGCTTGTGAAATCTAAGGCGTGTATCTGTTCCTAAAGTGAAATATGTAAAGTCCAACTCCACAGTGTTATTAAATAAGTAGCCATTCATGTTTAAAAATTAAAAATGCAGGTTTTCCTGCAATACTCGCCTCCTGTCTAGTGCTCTGCAGTCCTTGGCTAGCATCATCCAACTCACTTACTATGTACCCAGGCTGTCATGGACGTGCCCCTTGGGTTAGTTGTATGTCTATTACTGCACAGAATAGCGCTAGTGCTCGTGTCATTACAAAAGTGCCACTCTGTCATCAACAAGCATGACAGGAACTGAGACTTTCATGGACTTTGCTGGCTGCATGTTTTTTTCTGGTCATTGGTCATGTCAGCAATTCCAGCACCCTTATTTTTGTCTTTGCATGCACGCAGAAAGAAGTACAGTTTTTAACTACGTGCTCACCTGGCCAATTCCAGCATTCCTCTTCTACATGTAAAAATTGTAATTTTTGTTTTTAATATATGTATGTGTATGTATGCGTGTGTGTATGTATACACACACACACACTGGAAAAAGTAATTATTTGATCCCCTGCAGATTTTGTAAGTTTGCCCACTTACAGAGAAATGAAGGGTCTATCATTTTTATCATAGGTGTATATTAATGATAGATACAGAATATCCATTAACAATTCAAAAAGAACACATGGTACTAGTGTTATAATTTGAGTTGCAGTTCAGTGAGTAAAATAAGTATTTGATCCCCTACCAACCAACAATTCTGGCTCCCACGGACTGGCTATGTGCTCATGTGGTACACAGATTAGTCCTGTCAATTTAAGAAGGCGCTTCTAATGACAGCTCGTTATGTGTATAAAAGACACCTGTTCACAGAATCACTTTCTGCCATTCAAACCTCATCACCATGGGCAAGACCAAAGAGCTGTCAAAGGACGTCAGGGGCAAGACTGCAGAGCTGCACAAGGCTGGAATGGGCTACAAGATCATCAGCGAGAAGCTTGGTCAGAAGAAGACAACTGCGATTATTCGCAAATGGAAGAAATAGAAAATAACCATCAATTGCCAAAAGCTCCATGCAGGTTTTTGCCTCATGGGGTTAACATGATCATGAGAAAAGTGAGGGATCAGCCCAGAACTACATGGGAGGAGCTTGTGAATCATTAATAGCAGTTGGGACAACAGTCACCAAGTAAACCATTTGTAACATAATACGCCACCGTGGATTGAAATTTTGCAGCACCCGCAAGGTCCCCCTTCTCAAGAAGGCACATGTACAGGCCTGTCTGAAGTTTACCAATGAACATCTAAATGATTCAGAGAAGGATTGGGAGAAAATGTTGTGGTCAGATGAGACCAAAATTGAGGTCTTTGGCAATCACTGTTTTCCTAAAACTTATTTATTCCCTTTGTTGTTATTTTCCATTTGTCATCTTGTAATAGAAAAACCTGGAAGGATATTTGTTAAAATAAAAAATCTAAATAAAAGCTTTATATGTTCTTTAAAAAAAGCTTAAAAGTTTTGTAGGTAAGCATGGAGTTATTGTCAAATTTACTGGTGCATGCAGAGACTTCTTTTTTTCTGGGAATCTAGGCTGCAACTACATTTGGTCATAAAGGTTGTTTTGCAGCACTGATCTAATTTTTTTAGTGCCTGTGTTTCTTCTTTTATATTATTTAGAATTTTAAAGATAAATTCTATTTTGTGTTGGAGCTGGAAAACTTGCATATTAGTAACTTTCATTTTTTTGCAGCAAGTTGCTGGACTTTTCCAGGACAGTACAAAGCAATCAGATACACCTGAAAAATCGGGTACCTCTGAAGTGTCTGAAGAGCAGGCATCTGTCTCCGAGGAAGCAGCTAGTGCCTTTAGTGTTTCTTCACCAAAAGACTATCGAATGTTGTGTGGGATCGATAAATGTGTTAGCAGAGAGATGAGTCTTATTCCAGATGATGAGTTAGGCCTTCCCCCTCTACTGCTGACAAGTGGAGAAAGTGGAGGTAACTTTTATCAGACAAAAATATTGTGTTATTAAACTCCTGTGCTGCTTTTCCTCCCTTGAATGCTTATACATTAACCCAGTAGCCAGCCCACACTATCATATGTTAAATGCAGCACTACTCACGCATAAAACAAAATAGAACTCAAACCTATATATGCTTGTGAAGTGACAAACCAATTCACAAGTGCAGTGCCATTAAAAACCAATCGAGTGATTCATTTAGAATGTGCTCTCACCTTAAAGGAATGACCTACATTGTAGAGGTAATTAAAAGCCTTTTCTGGGGTCCAGGTGTCCAAGCAGAGACATACCAAATAATGTTTTTTAAAACTACATTTATTATAAACCATTAAAAAAACAAATGAACGTTCAATAGTGTACATCTCCTAAGGTTTTTCATGCTGATTAACCACTTGCCTACCGCCTCACTTAGAAGAACAGCTGGATCATGTATCTGATACGTGGTCCAGCTCTTCCGGGTACGAGGCAGGTGCCCACCGCCCCGCCTGTGCTGTGATTAGTTACAACACAAGCCGATCAGCGGGCCCTGGCAAAATGATTGATGGCCAGGACACGCCGTTAGTTGAAGCAGATGACAGGACAGAGCTTGATGATTGTAAACAACATAACGCTCTGTTCTGACGGGGATGTGCCGGTGTTTTTTTCCCTGCCTATTGTGATTTTTTTTTTTACCAAAAATATGTAGCAAGACATATTTTGGCCTAAATTTATAAAGAAATTAGATTTTTTTTTAAATTGTATTGGATATGTTTTATCGCATATATATAATTTTTTTCAAAATTTTAGGTCTTTTATCATTTATGTAATAAAAAATAAAAAAACCCAGAGGTGATCAAATACCACCAAAACAAAGCTCTATTTGTGAAAAAAAAAATAGTACAAAGTGAATTTGTGTACAGTGTTGAATGACCTCACAATTGTCAGTTAAAGTAGTGCAGTGCCAAATAGAAAAAAATGGCACGGTCAGGAAGCAGGTAAAACCTTTCAGAGGCAAGTAGTTAATGCTGTATGCCAAACAGAGGTGTTTTATTGTCATTGCCTTTTACCAGTGTACACTGTTGAATGTGAGTGTTTTTTTTAAATAGTTTTTAACACCTCAATCTGCTATAGGTTGGGCGGGACGCTCCTCCTTCTGAATGGACATTATATGATGTCCTCTCAGAAGGTGCTGCTCACGTGGTCGCTGGGGCCATGCAGTGGTGCGATCTGTCACCGGCTGTGTCCACCGGACACAGCCAGCAACTGATTGCTACATCTACCCACTGCAAGTGTCATGTGATCACTCTGACCAATCACAGAAGATCACATGACAATTGTAAAGAATGGATAGCTTCCTTTCATTTCATCTATTGTATACAATTGTGGTTTTAGCTGTGATTGGTCACAGCGATCACATGGTACAGACAGAGCCAATCACAGCCACGTGATGAGCTTTGTCCAATCACAGCTAATCACAACAAAAGACACTGAATGAATCTGTTTCATTCAGTAAAAATGGTTGCTAATATCAATGAAATTTGTTGGTATAAGCAGTCATAATGTTAAAAAAAATATATAATTCTGCACAGTGTGAGGTAAAAAAAATTGTATTAAAAAAATTTAAAAACAAATTAAAAATTAAATTCTTCTTTTTTTTTTTTTTTTACATACTGTCACCAGTCAGTGTTCCTGATCACTGCTACACCAGTTATATGATAATGCTGTACTGGACTGGTGACAATATGTTTAAAAAAAAATAAATAAATAAAAAGTGACTTTTTCCCCCCCAAAAAAGTGCCAAAAAATTAGAACTTCAAAAAACGTGCCATGCCTCTTAGTAAATACCTTGGACTGTCTATTTTCCAAAAATGGGTCATTTGGGTGGTATTTGTACTGTCCCGGCATTCTCAGGCCTCATGAAATTAGATTGGCCGTCAGTACATTAGGACTGATCGATTGTCAAACATATGCCATAGTTTGTGGAAACAAGTAGGAAACAAAAATGCGTTTTTGTTCCAAAATTTTCTGACTTTTTTTTTGTTTATTTAGTAAAAAATAAAAAACTCGGTGTTTAAGTACCACCAAAAGAAAGCTCTATTTGTGTGAAAAAAATACAAATTTTTATGGGTACAGTGTTGCATGACCGCGCAGTTGTCATTCAAAGTGCAACAATGCTGAAAGCTGAAAATTGGCATGGACAGGAAGGTGGTAAAAGTGCCTGGTATTGAAGTGTCAATCAATGTGTTTTAAAAAAAAAAAAAAATGGAAAATGTGCTATGTCTCTGCTTGTCTTGAGTGATCATGAGGACATGGACACTATCTCAAACACCTGGACTCCGGAACATGTACAGTTGTGGCCAAAATTATTCAACCCCCACTGAAATTGAGTGTTTTGGCCAGTTTGACATTGCTTTTGATCATTCAGTCATCTTGCTTACATTTACATTAAAGAGGCACTTGTAGGTCAGACAAATATAACATAACAGTTATAATGAAATAACCACAAATGTCTTTTCTGTGCTCACAGCATTATCAGTTTTATTCAACCCCCAAGTGACATTCAATCTTAGTACTTAGTACAGCATCCTTTTACAGTTATAACAGCTTTTAAACGTGAAGCATAGCTTGACACAAGTGTCTTGCAGCGATCTACGGGTATCTTCGCCCATTCTTCATGGGCAAAGGCCTCCAGTTCAGTCACATTCTTAGGCTTGCGCACTGCAACTGCTTTCTTTTAAGTCCCACCAGAGGTTCTCAATCGGATTTAAGTCTGGTGACTGCGATGGCCACTCCAAAATGTTCCAGCCTTTCCTCTGCAACCATGCTCTAGTGGACTTGGAGGTATGCTTGGGATCATTGTCCTGTTGAAAGGTCCAACGTCTCCCAAGCCTCAGGTGTGTGACGGACTGCATCACGTTTCCATCCAATATCTCCTGGTACTGAAGAGAATTCATGGTACCTTGCACACGCTGAAGCTTCCCTGTACCTGCAGAAGCAAAACAGCCCCAAAGCATGATTGACCCTCCACCATGCTTCACAGTAGGCAAGGTGTTCTTTTCATCATAGGCCTTGTTCTTCCTCCTCCAAACATAGCGTTGATCCATGGGCCCAAACAGTTCTAATTTTGTTTCATCAGTCCACAGAACACTATCCCACAACTTTTGTGGTTTGTCCACATGGCTTTTGGCATACTGCAGTCGACTCTTCTTATTCTTTGGAGACAGCAAGGGGGTACGCCTGGGAGTTCTGGCACGGAGGCCTTCATTACGCAGTGTGCGTCTTATTGTCTGGGCTGAAACTTCTGTACCCACATCTGACAAATCTTTTCTCAGTTCCTCAGCAGTCACACGGGGACTTCTCTCCACTCTACGCTTCAGGTAGCGCACAGCAGTCGAAGTCAGCATCTTCTTTCTGCCACGACCAGGTAGCGTTTCAACAGTGCCCTTTGCCTTGAATTTGCGAATGATGCTTCCTAAGGTGTCTCTTGGTATGTTTAACATCTTTGCAATCTTCTTATAGCCATTGCCCTTCCTGTGAAGAGAAATCACCTCTTCTCTTGTCTTCCTGGACCATTCTCTTGCCTTCACCATGTTTGTAACCACACCAGTAAATGTCTAGAAGGAGCTGAGTATCACAGTCATTTTAAAGCTGCCTAATTGGTGCTTATTATGCTTGATTGCTGCTCGGTGACATCCACAGGTGTTTTCAATACCTGATGGAAAGCACCTGTATGAACCTCTGTTCTTCAGAGTGGTAGTCTTTAAGGGGTTGAATAATTGTGGCAATGAAGAAACCACATAAGAACCATTTACTACTGTATTACATAAACAATTGATGTCATTTTAGTTGCATTTGGGTAGTTACAACGTCCTTGTAGGATTTGATTCTGAATACAATTCCAAATGTACACTATAGTCCCTAAACCCCTTTACAGCATTGGGGGTTGAATAATTTTGGCCACAACTGTATATGTTACAAAAAAGGCTTACAAAAAACAAACGTACATACCTATCTGTGGCTGCAGCATCGATCTAATGCTGCAGCTGTCCCCTGCCAGCTTTGGGACCAAGAACCGAGTGGTCACATGATCACTGATCACTCAGTTCTCAGTCTTCACTGAGCACAGAGCATGACAGCCAATCACCAGCTCTGTACTCTGTCCCTCCAGTGCTCACTGAGGAGCCAGGCTGTGGAGGGTGCAGGAGCAGCTGGCCCATGCTCTCAGTTGTGCGCTGAGATGCTGAGCCAGCTGCCAGTCAGGCATATGGGTGGATCATGACATTAAAGTCGGGATCCATGCAGAGTGCAGATATAAGTGCATTCCTGTGACCCAGAAGAGAAATATGGCCAAACAAGCTTTGGTCATACTTCTGCTTTTAATGACCTTTGTAAAGTGCATGTCATTCGTTAAATGCGAGAGTGTGAAATCTTGAGTGAAGGACTGCAGTAGAGAAGAAGTTGAGTGAAGCACTGGAGATTTTTTGCACAGAGTGATAAGAAGCACTTATATAATTTTTTTTTCTTTCTTTTTTTTTTTTTTGCAAAAGGCGATCTTTAAATCTAAAGGAGATTAAGTTTATACATACCAATTTGATTCCAGCTATAATTGTTTTTCACTTTTACTGTTGTTAAGTTAGTTGAGTCTATTGTTGTTGCCGTAGGAAATACTTTTTCACGGCTAGAAAAGTGGTATTCATATATTTTCAAACTCATCTAGAAAAGTTGCTTGACCTGATAATACATGCCTTGTCTCCAAATGACAGCCAAAAACATTACTTTTACACATACTATTCTGCAATTAAAAACAAAAAAATTGATAGGATAGTGCGAAGTGCGGTAACCGCTCAGATCTTCTTCAGCTTGTATTATAATATGCCATAGCATTATTTTCCACAATAATTTGAAAATGTGATATTATGCCCGGTAACCTGGGAAGTTCATGTCCTTTTTCTTTCAGAGGCACTAGTGGAGAACAGTCCTACTCATGCAGGAGTAATGATGCTTTTAAATGAAGATGGGCCTAACCCATTGACCTTCATCTTAAATGCAAACTTACTTGTGAATGTCAAGATAGTGACTTGTAAGTAGGAACTCTGTGCCATCCTATTTTTGCCATACTTATAGATGCCAGATGTATTTAAAAATCTTGTGTTTTGTATTTCTTCTTGTTCAGATGCTTCAGAAAAATGCTGGTTCTTTGCTACAAATGGATTCCATGGCTTAGGCCAGTCAGAGATAGTAGTTGTTTTAAAATGTTTACCAGATGAAGACACTGTCCCTAAGGATATATTTAAACTTATGCTTCTCATTTACAAGGATGCACAGAAAGGTAACAGTACATGTTTACACATCGTATTTCGATATAACCTCATCCTGTCTTATTCATGTGTCAAACGTACAGTGCTCAATATATTCTCAGGGTCCAGGTAGATGGTACACTTGAAATAAACATATACTTTGCCCATTAAGAAAAAATAAAAAGTTTATTTAGCTCTTGTCCTCCCTAGCTGCAGTAATTCACTTTCTTGCAGTGAGCTGAGAGGTACTTTGTGGTATAATGAGGATGTGACACACTCCAGCTCCGATGATTGGTTGTTCAGACACGCATTGCTATCACACAGGAGGCGGGAGAGATCCTTAAGCATTTTGTAAGCTCTAAGCCAGAGTTTACACTTCCCTTCTCCTCTTTGTTTCTGATGGCCGAACAGAGTTGCAGGTGAGTGATGAGAGGTAATTGTGCAGCTACAGAGGGTGGCAGTTAGGTAAACCTGTTGCTTTTCTTAACATTGGCCCACTACAGGTTCTTTTTAGGGCCTTGTACAAATGGATATTAGCCTGTATAGAATCAGTGTGTACAACAAGTTTCTACAAATGCATTGGCAACATTTTCACCAGCTTCAAGCAGCTTGGTAGAAACTTTTGAAGCACCCTTCAACTCCAGTTTGGCCTGACTGCGTCCAGGGTCAGAAATCTGCCCCCAACCACAGCTAATTACTCTGTGTGCAGCTGCATGCAATCAAGAGTGGCTGCTGTTAGCCCGCCATTAGTTTTAAAGAGCTGAGCAGCCACTGCAGATTGTATAAACCCGGTCATTCCAGCAGCAAGAATCTGCAGATTCTTGCCAAAGGAATCCGGTAGCTGCAACAAATCGACCATGTGAAGGGGATCTTAATACATATTCAATAGAGGGTGCTGACTGTCACTTAAATGAAGCTTAGGGCTCATTCACACTAGCAGAGAGTTGCATTTTTTTGCATAAGAATGCTTTTCCCTGTGCCCCATTCACACTTTTCTGCAGCTGTCACCTGCGGTGCAGAGTGGAATAGAAATCTGCAATGCTGCTGCAGATTAGAAATCTGCAACACTCTGCAGGTGACCTGTGGAAAACCGCACAGAAAACACCTGTAGTAGGGAGAATCCGATGGACAGTTGGGGGTGATCAGTGCAGCAGGGGCAATTACAAAAACAGATCTCTCTCTATGGCTGTCTATGCAGCAGCTGAAAGCGCATTCTCCTGCTTTCCCTCTCGCGGCTTTCAGCTATTTCATGGAGGGAGATCGGTTCTTGCAATTGCCCCACAACGCTGCACTGCTCACCCTCCAACTGTCCATAGGATTCCCCCTGCTGCCTGGGTCCCCCTGTTTGCTCCTCCAGCTCCCCCCCGCGGCACTGCTGGCTTTTCTCCTCATTTCTGCCGCCACCTGCTGTAGGGGAAGTGTCAGGATGGAGAATGGGGGAAGGGTCAGTATATGTAATTTACCGCCCCCTTCATTTTCTGAAAGAGCAATACTGATTGCTCCAGTGTCCATTCATGACTGAAGCATAGTAAACTGTTTATTATGCTTTGTTTATGAATGAACAGGAGCCCCTGTCTTCTTTTCATTCATCTGCAGTGCAGCTGAGGCTACAGAAAAGGCTACTGGGGAATGTTTCCTCAGTCCCTTTCTCCGTCTCAAAAGGAATTTTGTAAGTCATGCAGGAATTTTGTAAAATGTTGTTTGTGAAGAAGTGGTATTTGTTCAAATGGTATGCACTATATATATATATATCTTGAGCACTATTTATAGCACAAGTGCTGCTCGGCACTGATTGTTAAAGTTTTTTCATGTCCTGTTTTTATCTGCTAATAATGATTTTATTGTAATATTTTGTGAAAAGGAAATTATGACACAGGAAATAGAAAAAAACTCACAGAAAAAAAGGAAATAGTTGCAATAGGAGTTTAAAAAACACATGTAAACGCACATAAAAATGTTGGTAAACGCAAATGCTTCCATATGGACTTTTACCTGCATTTTTTATTAGCTCAAGTGTGAACCAGCCCTTTAAGTAAAGGTCAGAGCATGAGCAGCTAAGTATACAATGCAAGGGCAGTTTACCCTAGCTTGAGCAATCCGCAGTGGATCACTTTTCAGAGTGTGTTTGACAGGTAGTGAAAAGAAGTTTTGTTGCCTCCTAACAGTTGCAGGGCAGTCACAGCGTTGCCCCATTCGCTTGACACACAAAAGAGGGTTTTATTTCTTGATGCAAAGCATCGTGGCTGCTGTGAGAGTATACAACTCCATCTGCTGCTTTTGCAGCTTAAAAGGAAGCAGTTGGGGGGATGCTAAAAACATGGCTCAACCATGTGTTTTTATGCCCTCCCAACTGCAAGTGCAAACAGAGCAGGAAAGTAAGAAACGTGAAAGGCAGACTGGACATATAGTATGTCTTTTCTGCAATAAAGAATGCCTTACTTACATTGTTTTGTTATCAAGGTGAAGTTTTGACTTAAAACCTCTTCAGCCATAGTTAGTTTCTAGCGTTGCTGGTGTAGATGATGGGTACTTGAAGTTATTGAAGTGTGATTGTGTAACAATTGTTGTTTTCCGATTTTGGGCTGCACACTAGTTCTGCGGCAATAACTTTGAAGTGGTTGTAAACCCTTACGTATAGCCAGTGAAGTGACTGGCCTCAAGTGATACACAGAGATGAAACAAATCCTCCTTCAATTGTTGTACCTGTTGATTTACAGCTGTCTGTCCCCTACATCCATTCCAAGTGCAGAATTTACACACAATCTCTCAACTTTAAAAAGCAGGGGGTGAGGAGATGAAGTTACACACAGTGAGAAGAGCTCTGAGAGCTGATTGAAGGGAAAGGACACACCCCTTCACTCAACACACAGGAACAGAGCTGAGGCTGTCAATCACAGACTGTGCCCTCCCTTGTCACATGTTTCTCTTGGTGTCGGGAAAACTTGTCAGAAGTGATTCAGGGTGATAACAGAGGATTGAAGCAGCAGGCAGAATGGCACTTAGTGCTCTGGATTGAGACAAGTACACACTGTAGAGGAATATGCTTTGTTCCTATTTCATGTTTGAGGTTTACAGCAACTTTAACTGCATGTATGCATGTATTGTCAATACATTAAATTGAATATGCGTTAGGAAGTCGGCCAGGTTCATTCTCAAGGTTCTGATTGATGTGTTTTGCTTCATGACAGATTTACTTTAATATCTCTATAGAATAAAGTTGCCATTACATTGCTAACATAAAACTATGCCAGTTTCAGCCTTTCACTTTAACTCCTTTCCATCGCCTAATGTATTTTTTCTCAACAGGAAAATATATAGGCAATTTGGACAATATCACATTTACAGAAAGCTTTCTGAGTAGCAAGGATCATGGTGGAGTTCTGTTCTTTACACCGACTTTTCAGGATCTCAGTGAATTGCCTGTCCCCAACAGTCCTTTCTTGTGTGGAGTTCTCATCCAGAAAATGGAAGTACCATGGGCTAAGGTTTTTCCTATACGCCTGATGCTGAGATTGGGAGCTGAACACGCTGGTAAGTTGTATTTTTTTTTTTTTTGCACTGTACTCTGCAGTTTAAAATCTTAAAATTCCCCCTCCCCAATTTTTTTTTGTTTCCTCCACTCCCCACATACACGTTCATATAAATATAAACACACATGCCTGGAGCATCTACCCACATGAACGACGATTGTGCTACATGTGTTACATACACGTTATAGTCGCCATTCGCTCTGAAGTGAGTGTAATAATTCTAGACCCATTATTCAATGTTAACTCAAACTGATGACCTGTAGGGGCTCTTAAATCGTCGTCTATGGAATATTTTGGGTACAAAAGTGTGTTGCTGTTTCATTGGCACACTCAATTTTTTAAGGTTGACATGTTGTTGGGTATCTGTCTACTCTGTGTTATTTCATATCAAAATTTGGATACACTATTGCATTTGTGTGCCCTAAAATTAACTTTTGTGTATCTTTTATTGCAATGATGTGTTTTAAAAACCATTGCGCTAATATCTTGTGACATAAAAAATTGGATTGATCATTATTTATTGTTCAGGGTGTCTGCTATATAATGTTTTGGGGGTTTTCAGTACTCTTCAGGCCTAAAGTAATTTGGGTTTTTTAACATGCATGCAAAAACGGCTCAGCGAAACGATTTAAAGTAGAACTTTAGGCAAAACCCTTTTCTTTTTTTTTTGGATAGAGTAAGGGAGGATTTTAACTCCTGTCAGATTTTTTTTTTTTTTTTTTGCCTTTTGTGTCCCATTGCGGAGATTTCCCTTCACTTCCTGTCCCATAGCCAAACAGGAAGTGAGAGGAAATCCCTGCAAATTAAGGGAATATCATGGGGACCCTCAGTCCACCAGAACTAGTGTCTCTATTTGAAGATTTCCCATCTGTTACTTTTCTGGGGACAACCCAAAATTTGAGATTTTCTTTCACTTTCAATGATAACGGAAAAAAAAAGACAGAGGGTGAATCTCCCTAATGGGGGCACAGATAGTAATAAAAACCGACAAGAGTTCTAATCCCTCTCCACTCTATCCAAAGTAAAAAAAGATGTTTTCCTTTAGTTCTACTTTAAATGTAATATATTTTAACAGTAGCTCAGCATTCTTTGTGTTAAAGTGGGAGTAAACTCCCTTGGTTGATTTTTACCTAAAGGGTGAGCATATAATAAGGCTTACCTTTTAGGTACAGTAAATCTCTCCTAAACATTCACCATTTAGGAGATTTTTAACTAAAGAAGCAGCCAGTGACATCACCGGCACATGCATTGTGAAGGAACGGCTTACAATACCAATCCTTCAAAACCCTGTGCTGTAAACAGTGACACAGCAGTGAAGTCATCGTGGCTTGGCCATTCACATCACCAAAGCCCACGAACCCAGAAGGAAAACCTGGTGAAGATGGAAGCGCCTACAGCGGTGACAGTGCGCCGCTGGAGGGCTTTGTTTTCAGGTAAGTCTGTCATAATGTGCTAGTATATGTGGTTCATACTAGCACATTATGACTTAAACTGCTTGGGGCCAAATTTATTGTATTTATTTATTTTTTGCTGCGGTATACTTCCAATTTAAAGTAAGTATCACTCACTAAAGGCTTTTTTTTTTTCTATAGCTTTGCATAGAGTGGAGAGGGATTGCAACACTTGACTGTTTGTCATGTTTACTGTTATCACTAAAAGTGAAAATGACAGAAAATCTCACAGTTTGGATTGTCCCAGAACAGTGTTAGAGGGGAAATCTTCTACTGGGGACACCATTTCTGGCGATCTTGGTAACAACCAGGGTTTCCCTCTCATTTATCATTAATGGCTATGGGACAGGAAGTAAAGGGAAATTCCCCCTCCATGGATGGCACAAAAAAACCTTGACAGGGTTTTATAACCTTCCCTTATCTTTATCCAATATGAAGGAAAAAAGTTTTGTCTTTAGTTCTAATTTAAGATATTGACCACAAATGGACTGCATTATTTTTAATGTGTCAGCTGACTCCTAGACTTTCATTGTGAGAAGGAGTGGTATAGCACAGCCGCCGTGTACCACTGCAGTGCATTCAGCAGAGCCTGCATATGTATTGTGCAAATTTTTCTGGTCCCTGTGTACTTTTATAATTACAATATATAAATAGAAACAAGGTTTTTAGGACAGAAACACATATTGATTTATGTTGTATTACATCAAGCAGATCTTTTATATGAAAAAAAAAAATCCTGATCGTACAGTACAGGATGCAGACACAGGTAAAGAGCTAAATATTTTTGGGACTATAGGGGCACACATTACCTAACCTGATCAAAAGACACTTAATTACAGTAATCCTTGTTTGTTTTTTCAAGTATACCCTTCTCCCATCACAAGTCACAGATACCGAAAATCTGTATATGGAGAGATTGGACATACCATCATTAATTTATTAACTGTAAGTATTGATGTTTTTGTACAAGTGTTCCTAGTGTGTGTAATAGAACTCCTAGCAAGTGGCCTACCTATAGTTGTCTTTTTTGTTATTTTTTTTTCCAGGACCTTAGAAATTACCAGTATACGATCCCACATGTCGATGGTTTAGTCATTCACATGGAAATGGGCAAAAGCTGCATAAAGATCCCTTCATGGAGACACAATGAGGTGTGTAACATTTTTCATCAATTAATATTCTATTGTACTGCATATGTATAGTGTTGGTACAGTGTAACTTTGTGGTCTGTAAAGGAACATTACAGAGTTGTGTGTGGTAAGCTTGCCATATACTAAAGTTTCATGCCAGACACTTCCAGCACTGTTCTTTAACTTTCTGCAAAGGAGTGTTTGAATGAGTCCCTTTTACTGAGGCATTCAAAATAATGATTTTGCTTTTTCAGATGAGGGGGGCACGTGCCTGCAACGTGCAGTCGTTGGCTCCCTGACGTTCTGATTTACGGTTGGGATCCACCAATTGTAGGAGCTAGTGACAGGAGAGAGATCTGTGTTGGTAAACAGCACAGCTCTTTCTGCTGACAATGGGAATGTGCTGGTTTTCAAAAACTGTCACATCCCCTAGTAAAACAGCACACAGTACACACATCACATATAGTTAGGCACACAGTTAAGCCTTTGATTGCCCCAGATGTTAACCTTTTCCTGCCCAGTGTCATTAATACAGTGTCAGTGCATTTTGTTGGCACTGATCACTATATTAGTGTCGCTGGTCAGGTCAGTATCAGTTAGCCAGTGTCAGAATACCCACTGTACTATCACAGTCCCACTATAAGTTGCTGATTGCTGCAATAACCTTAAAAAAAAAATTCCAGTGCATATACTATCATTTGTAGACACTATAATTTTCACGCAAACCAATTAATATACACTTATTGGGATTTTCTTTACTAAATACATGTGGCGAAATACATTTTAGCCTAAATTTGTGAAGACATTTCTTTTTTTTTTTAGTATATATTTTATAGAAAAATCATTTTTATAGCAAGAAGTAAAAAAATATTTATTTTTTAAAAATTTTTGGTCTTTTTTCGTTTATAGTGAAAAAAATAAAAAACCCAGTAGTGATCAAATACCACCAAAAGAGAGCTCAGTTTGTATGAAAAAATTATATAAATTTTACCTGTGTACAGTATTGACCATGCAATTTTCAGTTAAAGTAGTGCAGCGCTGCATAGCAAAAAATGGCCTGGTCATGAAGAGGAGAAAATCTTCTGGAGGGCAAGTGGTTAAGGTTTATTTGACATCGTTATTATCACATTTCTTTTTCAGCTTGTATCCTTGAAATCAACCCTTTCGCTAGCTGAACCTTTTGCAACGAGCAGTGTGTTAAATCTTCACTTTATTGCAAAACATTGGTCACCTCTGCTATCCAATTCTTTCAGGTATCTCGGGATAGAGTGTCCCCCACTGCACTGTAGCTCTTACTTCATTACTGTGCCCTGTTGTAGCAACGGAGTTGACAGGAGGAAACAGTGCACAATGGGAGACTTGCTAACCGACATGCCTTGTAATGGTGGATAGCACTGGTGGTGGCCATATCTCTGCAACGGAGTGAAACCTGCAGTCATTGTCCACCTCTTATACATGGTATAGCTGGGGGGTGAGTTTCTTTTAGCTATGGAGAGGGTTGTTTTAACATAACCTTGAACTGTGACTGTACTAATAGCCACTGCCCTCTGTTATGAGACATATAAACGAAGAACAGTTTTAGGCAACAAGTAACCCTGATCTGTGATCTACTGATGGCGTATAACAGTGGTTCCTCCCACTGACACCAGCGATAAGACACTATTCCTCCCACTGACACCAACAATGGGGCAATAGTCCTCCCAATGACACCAACGACAGGGCACTATTCCTCCTACTGACGCTAAGACAATTTCTACTCCTAGTAGCCACAGTCCAGCTCCATTAAAGTCTAAACAGCAAACAGACCCTTTGTTTAGAAAGTTTGGAGATCCCTGGTGTATAGGAATCTTTTAAGCTGCCCTAAAATCGAAATCCCCGTGACCTTTTATTTATTTTTTTCATGCTGATATACTTGCATGTTAGCTGAGGTTGGCTTTGTCCAGTTTCCATCAACTGCTCTTTCTTTCTTTCATCTGTTTTCCATGACTTTTTGAGTGGTAGAAGTACTGAGTGGCCGCATAGACAGAGACATACATGCTCTTCATTCATACAGTGTGGCCTCAGTATGGGTAAAGGGTCATCAGCATGCACCTCACATCTTGAGAAACTGGGAAAGGTCACCAAATCAATGCTGTAACAAGAGAACATTTCAGATCAATAAATCATTTAGGGGAATGGGAACAATGCAAGCCAGGAGAAATTCAGGAAGAGAGTGGATTTCAGTCAGTCCAGATGGGTGCAGCAAGTATGCAAAATTGAGTTTCGGGAGATGGATTGATTTTGTGTAAACTTGCAGTTGGTGCAAACTGTGCTCCATTTTTTTGTAGGTCAGCAGTGTATTGCGAGTGTAGACACTGCAGACAGTAATTTGGGGCACCACAATGTTTGTTCCAGTAAAACACACCAGGGCTTCCTCATATGGATCTTACGTACAGCCAAGTCTATTTTTGCCATGTTAAAAAATGCTGGTGCACTGAATAAACCAGAATTGTGGCGTGTAGATTCTTACCTATGTGGTTAATATTTTTATAGATTCTTAAGGTAATTCATTCGTGCAATGAACATGTCATCAGCATTGGTGCCAGTTTCAGCATGGAGGCAGATTCTCACCTGGTCTGTGTACAAAACAACGATGGAATTTACCAGACACAAGCCAGCAGTATTCCTGGCCAGTCACGCCAAGGTGAGGTCTGGAAACAAATGATTAATTCATGAAGTTACTAATCCTGAAATACAAGTTGATATAACTGCTAATAACATGTTGCGTGTTATAGAATGCATCCTGTCATATTTTCATTCATTGACAGCTTGGTTCCTTTTGCCAACTGTTTTACACGCTGGAAAGTTTTCTGATGTTTTAAAAGAAACCACATCTTTCAAGAATGCTTTTAAATAAACCTGTCATGAAGCTAATGTAAAAAGTTTTTTTTTTTTCTTTTTGTAGATGCAAACCTGTTCTCTATGTAAATTACTGACTGTAAACAAAAACTCATCTTCTGTGCTTTTCTTTTTGCGCTGCTCAATTAGATTTTACTGATATAAATATTATGCTTTGCATTGGGTAGGATTCCTTCTGAATCTAGGAGGCTGTATGTTAAAGCTGAAGTTTAATCTACGTAAATTGTCTTTCCTGGTTCCTCCCTTCCCCTGCACATCAAAGTGCTAATGACATTTTTGGGTAAATCCTTTCATTACAGACCTTATTTGGATCCTGAGGTGTTATTTGTGCTTCTCTATGAAACGCTGGCAGATCATGGCTTGTGGGAGGGGCCAGCAAGAGATGCATGTAGATACTTGAAAACATCATAGCACCCTGCCTCAGTATGCTTTTGTAGAACCCTCAGTCCTCGTTCAAGCAGTGGACTGACTCTTGGAAGACGTTTTAAAGATCATTGTCTTCATAGTGGATGTCAGTCTGGAAGAGTGAGTGTTCCTAGGCAGACAGCATTTGCACACAGACCACCTTGTGTAATGCTCATTTGTGATGCTGACCCTCGATGATTGAAAGAACTGAAATCCAATTAATGAAAGTCAGGAAAATGCTAGGTGGTGTTGGATGCCTTACATCTAGGGAATGAGACAGGCTCTGTCTGACTTGCTGATGTACACTGTGAGAAACTCACAGTATTCAGTGAAATTGGAGTAAACAATTTCAGTACAGGAAAATAGCCTATACAGCTGTCCAAAACTGAAGGTAAGGTTTGAGTTCTCCTTTTAAAAGTCAATAAAAATGTAGTTAAAGCAAAATGGCAGCCAGGTGTATATTTAAAGTTGAAGTAGATCCAAAGCTCTTTTGGCTGTACCTCTCCTGTGGATCACAGGAGTACAGTTCGTTGTGCACTCCTGTGACCCGTTTTCAGCTGACAGTGTGCTGAAGCCCGCTGTCAACTGATGTCACTCAGCCGATCCAGGCTGAGAAAGAATCCCGACGTTAAAGTCCAGGATCCACCCCAGAGTCTGGAGCGGCACCTGGCTCAGCCTCTCCGCGAGCCTCTGAGAGCCTGAGCCAGCCGCTCCCTCCCCCTCCACAGGCTCCAGGCCACTGAAAGTCACCGCTCTCTGCTCACATCGGTATGGTGAGAACTGTGCAATCAGTGGTCGTGTTATCGTGGAGTTCTCACACTTAGAGCCGTCAGGGGACAGATGTGGCATTCACCTAGGTAAGTATAAACTAAACTTCTCTTGTAAGTTTTTTTTTTTTTTTTTAAGAGTTATCTAGTAAGGAGGAAAAGATACATTAAAGATACAATGGGATTAATTTACTAATGGCAAATAGGATGTACAGTTGCTTCAGAGCTTAGTAAATGGAGAGAAGCTCTGCTGACTTCTATCATCCAATCAAGTACCAGCAAAAATGCTGTTTTTTTTTTTTTTTTCTTTCATTTTCTTTTCATGTGATTGGGTATTCTTTGCAAAATGAAGCCTCATCTCTTTTACTAAACTCTGGAGCAACTGCACTTACAAGTGCACAATGTATTTACCTTTAATAAATCCACCCCAGTGTATCTTTTCCTCATAGCTATAAGATAAATCTGTTGTTTCCCCTCTTCACAGAGGAGAGGACAGACTACTGTGAATCATCACTGTGATAGTCAATCACAGGCTATCACAGCGATCATGTGATTGAGAGTTGGTTCTCAATCATTAGTACGAGACCCAGAGCTGTTACTGACAGCTTGGTTTTAGTGCTGGGAGTGCATTTCCAGTATAAACACAGGAACTCATATACAGTGCCTAGGATTATAGTCACATCCTGGATACCGCATATATTGTGCACTGTCATGAAAGGATTAAAGCTGTGTAGTGCACCTTAAAGTGTAGAGGTACCTTAGCATGACTGTGTCCTTGAAGGTACAAATTGTAGTATATCTTTCCGGCAATTGCTTTGGCACCATCCAAATTAATTTTTAATTTCAATAAGTTTTTATTCAAGGATAGGAATTATTCTTACAAAGAAGGAATATCCAGTATGTCAAAAACAATACAAAGATATATTTTTCTATTTTGTGCTGGGATATAAACAAACAAAATATAACACCCCGTACAAGGGTTGTGATTGTAACATTAGCTAAAATCAGTGCAAGATTCCCAAACAATCGCCATTTTCACTTTTCCTAGCTGCTGGCCCAGTAAGTGTAAAAGAAGAACATACAATAGGGCAGTTCAAAAGATATCCAAAGTAGAGTACCTTTTTATGTACAGCAGTTATTGAGGCGTACATCAGAGAAGTATAGGAATGCGGAGAAGGCTCACCAGCCTTATAATAAGAATGTTCAAAAACAACATAGAAATTGTTCTTGGATGCTTTCCTCATTACAGAAACAAGTAAGAACAAAAATCGTAAGTTATAAATCGAGAAGAAAGGAAGGAGAATAGAAACAGAGTGTAAGGGCTTGTTCACACTTGTTCAAAATACTGACCCTTATCAAAAGCACCGATAGCTTTAATGTGCATTTATAAGTGCATTTGATAAGCATTTAATGAGTGTTAAAAATGCTCCCCCAAATGCCCATTTGCGGTGTGGTTGACATTAAAACCGCACCACGAACACCTACAACTGTTATGTACTAACGTGTCACAAGCGCATGCCAGCGCGATTGTGCAGTGTTACCATAGACTTGAATGGAAAGAGTTGAAATTCTTCAACTCCTTTCAAACTTGACATGAAGTGTCAATTTCGAAGCGAAGCAACGCTAATGCTTCATGTTTTGATAATGTGAAAAGCCCTGTGTAAAAAAACCTCCTCAAACACCTGTCTTCAATGCTAGTGTGGACTAGACCTTAGAAAGCTAAAAGACGTTAAAGAGTGGAGGAGAAGAGAAGGAAAAGGGTGGGAATGTGATCAGGGACTTCAGAGTCCCCCATAAGGTCCCCATTATAAATCTCAGCACACATCCGATTTCTATTAAGTGATGGTCAAAGTCCCTTAGGAGGTAGTAGGAAACCCATGGTTTTTTTTAAACTCTGTGACATTTAGTCATATTACTCTGTAGTTTGACCCCAACTGCATACGAGATTTAACTTGAGATATAGATAGGGTGTCAGTCAAGTTTTCATGATTGTTTGTTTCACGGTGGTCATGACATGGGTTACCAAAGTAAATTGTTACTTGGTGATCCTGTCAGGTTTTTGATTGTGAAGTGCTTGCGGTAGCATAGGTATAGATTTCTGCAGGAGTATTCTGAAGATATTGTACACCTGAATCCAAAAATTGTGTGCCACTGGGCAGGGCCACCAATTTTTGTAGGAACATGCCAATGTCTGAACATCTACAAAAGCATGTCGGGTCAACATCGGGGTTGACTTTGGTCAATCTAACAGGTGCCATATACCACCTGAGAAAGACTTTATAATTAGTCTCAAATGCTGCTGCATCTGGAGAGCAGGACTTGGTGGTGTACGAAATTTAGTCCGACTCATCTTGTTCCACACACAAGAGAGTATCTGGGCTAAATCTGGAGACAAGTGTATTGTATAGAGAGATCATCCAGGAGACTGAGGGTAATTTTAATTCAAAAGGTCGGTCTATCTCCAGGTAGTTGATTTGTGGAAGAAACCAAATGCTTGACTTGCAAATATCAGAACAACTCAAATGAGGAAGATGGTGGAATGTTCGAAAGTCTGAAAAAAGGTTTTATGCTGTTGGTGGACAAAAGTGCATAAAAACAAGTCAGTTTGAAGGTCTGCAGTAATTCAAACCCAAGTGCAAAAGCAGGGTTATGTAGATAATAATGGTAGATGTGGAGATGGCAATCCCTCAGAGTACTTGAGATCATCTCAAATTTGTAGAGAGTGGTGGGAGGTGGGGTTAATAGCGTTAGAGAGGAAAGATCTATCTTCCAGATGTAGCCACAGCAAGTTGTGTATAGACAATGGAGCACAGTCCTCTGACTCTAGATCAGTGTTTCTCAACTCCAGTCCTCATGGACCCCCAACAGGTCATGTTTTCAGGATTTCCATTATTTTGCACAGGTGATTTGATCAGTTTCACTGCCTTAGTAATTACCACAGCTGTTTCATCTGAGGGAAATCCTGAAAACATGACCTGTTGGGGGTCCATGAGGACTGGAGTTGAGAAACACTGCTCTAGATTAACCCAAATTGGAGTTTCATGACTAGCATGGTAATTTGTTAGTTGAGACAACTGTGTTGCCTGAAAAATTTGGGACACCCAGTCCTCCACATGATTGGGTTTGGGGCAAACATGCTTTGAGATTCAAGGTTTGTGATTGCGGGATATAAAATGCATTGCCTGGCTTTGGATTTTGTTCATAATGGAGGTAGGTATCTGGACTGGCAAAACTCATCTATTTTAAACAATCAACGTATGTAAATGATTGAATCTTACCATTAGTTAGTACCCTTCCTTTACTGTGCTCCATCTGATTTAATTTTTACAAAACCACAATGCCTTTTGAAAATACTAACAAATTTTAATTTGAGACAACCCCTTTGTTTCCCTCTATGTAGACTTTATTGCCATCATTAATGGTGCATTTTTTCATGTTTTCCTTCAGTTACTGGAGCAAGTTTTGTTGTTTTCAATGGTGCTCTGAAAACGTCATCTGGCTTCCTTGCCAAGTCTAGCATAGTAGAAGGTACGTACACATGTCGATTTCTTATGCATTTGTGGCATATGAGGTAGCCATTCAGTGCATGTTTTATCACAAGAGCAAAACACTGTAGTACTAACCGTGAAAAGCTTGGAACCCCCCCTTTCCTCATATTACATGTTTTGTTTGGTTAGAGGGAATGTTACCTCTATAAAAAAAAACAAACTTAAAGTGGAGCTCCACCCAAAAGGGGAAGTTCCACTTTAAGCCTTTGTCCCCCTCTCCCCATTAAGGATTGGCACCTTTGGGGGAGGGCACGTGTACCCTAATTTGACAGGTACCCGCTCCCACTTCCGCTGCGATTGCTTAGGCGATTGGAAGCTGTCCTCATCCCCCCCTCCCTCCCCATCGTCTTCTGGGACACGACAGGTCCCAGAAGAATACAGGGCCATTCACAAAGTGCAGCGCACAGTGGGCACCTGGCTGTGAAGCCACAAGCTGTCACAGCCGGGTGCCCGCACTGAAGATGCCGGCGCCAGGGAGAGAAAACGGCTGATGAAACCAGCGGGAGGGACAGGCAAGTGTCTGTATTTTAAAAGTCAGCTGCTACAGTTTTTGTATCTGCTGACTTTTAATTTTTTTTTTCAGGTGGAACCCGGCTTTAAAGAATAAGTAAACCAAACATTTCATATTCCTAATATGTACTTGAAAAAGAAAAAGTATCCTGTTCTCTTTGTAAAGCTTCTTTTTTGTGAAACCCCTGGTATTCCTGTCAGTCCCTCTGCTCTTCTATTAAAATCTGACTGCACTAGGCATGAGAGCATAGTGTTTTCAGTTCTCTGATTGTGCAGGGAACTCCTTGTATTCTCCAATAATCAGACTTCTCCTGCCTTTTTACCCCCATCCATGCACAGCCTTTCACTGGGAAGATCATTGTACTGCTGTTTCTCTTTACCCAGCTCTCTGAGCTTCCTATGCAGCTGAGAACAGAGGGAATGTGAAAACGTATTATAAAATATTTCTCCCCCTTCTTCTTTTTTTTTTTTTTTTTATATCTATACACAAATGTTTGGCCTTTCGTTTCTATTTCAAACTGAATGGGTTGTTTTACGAGGTGAGGGTTTACACTTACTTTAAGGTGTTAATAAAGTTTAATTGAACGCTTACTTTAACTAAATTAAAGAGACTGAAAAAAAGTGAAACAAAATGGAGATGTGTACAGAAATTACACCTCTTAGTGAGCTACCAATGAAGTGCATCTTTAATGGCCTACAGGGAGACAAGGAAAGAGTTAAAGAGGTGGAGCTCAGAGTAAGGTTTGGTTGTTACCCATAATAAAGCATTGCTTTCTTTTTTTTTTTTTTTATATATTTTGTATCCTGAGCCACTAAGTTTTCCTGCATTGGTATGAACATGTGCTTTGGCCATGCAGGACAATACACTTAAATGCTCCCCACCTTTCCTTTGTTCTGCTTGGCCTCTGGGTGCAAAGTTTAAAAAAAAAATAAACCTGTCACCTGTTAAAAAAAACAAAACAAAAAAAAAAGCCTGTCATATGACTCAATCTCCTATCTCCCACCTGACATTGCTGGTTCATGGTGAATTCTGGTCTACTTGTGCCTAGCTTACAGAAGGCATCCTCTCTTTGCTCCCAGTGGCTGAATGAAGAGACAGAGGAGTGAAGGGAAGGTGAATATGTCCAACTGGTAGGGTCGACAGTTAAATGCGCCTTTTGCTTTTCCCCTATCTGCAGAAGAGGCAAAATGTTTGCACATGACACGTTATATTTTTTTTCTAAAAAAAACTCTGGAAACATGACAGCTTAAATTTTTTTGTGTGTGTATTCGGAGATGCTCAGACTTTTGCATAGTTCTATTTGACTTCCAATTTAATAGGTTTTGCATCCTCATAGAACAAGTGGAAAAACATTCTACTTGTAAGTGTTATCGATCAATATGCTTTTAAACTCCCTGTCAAGAAAAAGCCCAATGGGGTTTTGACTTTTTCAATGAGAATAGTGAATCTCTTTAAATTGTTCATTGAATTGTCTGCTCCTGATTTCTTTAACTACAGCTCTAAATCTCCACTTGTGTATTGCCTAGATGGAGTGATGGTACAAATAACACAGGAAATGATGGAAGCTTTACGGCAAGCTTTGAGGAACAAAAAGGACTTTCGAATAACATGTGGGAAAATTGACTCTGGAGATTTGTCTGAAGAAGTTATTATCCAATGGGTGGAGCCTGAGGAAAAACAAAATAAAGGGTATATACTGTATGCAGATTAATTAGATTGAAAGTTTTCTTTCTGACAGTCTTAACTCTCATTTTACAGCTGTTACAGTGAGTCCACCACTTGTGATTTGTTATTGTTCACATTAATAACCCCTTTCTTTATTGGATATCTGCAAATTCAAACTTTTATTTAAATGTATTAACTCAGTTAATACATTTAATTAAGTTCATTCAATATCTGCTACCAGCTAGTTGCATCAGTTTGCTAATTCCCTCTAGCATTCTCTAGAATGTTTGCATTGTTTCTCTTTTTACAAAGATATATGCATTCCCAGTGTTTCTCAACTCCATCTTGTGGTGGGTATTTTACTTTGCCCACAATAAAACAATATTTGTTCAGAAACGTAAATAACTTTAGGCCCCTTTTACATCTGGGCATTTTGCATCTTGGGCAGAATCGCCACAATTTTGCCAGCTGTTTTAAAACACTGCTAAAATGACAAATCACTCAATGTGTGTTTAGGAGTCATTCATTTTCAAGGGCACCTAAAACGCGGTGCTGCTCTGCCGTGATAAATTGCAGCAAACCTTGTCGCCCAAAAAGGAGCAGGCAGAACAGTCCCACGTTTTAGGTGCCAATTTTCAATGGCACCTGAACATGCGTTGTGCGATTTGTAATTTTAGCAGAGCAATTTGGAATTGCGGGCAGAATCGTGGCGATTCTGCCCACTATGCAAAACGTCCAGATGTGAATGGGGCTTAAAGTGGAACTTTACCCACAACAATTTGATAAAAAATAATGTTCTTTAGGAAAGAACATACATTAATAAATATGCTACCAAAATTAGTGTGTACTTTTAATTGCCTCTAGCATTGTTCCTGATTCTTCTTGCTGGAGGCTGCCTTTTTGCTGAAGCTCAGAGCCCCTGAGCAGCAGTAATCTTTAGGCTGTCAGCAGATCGACCTCTACAAATTCGGCACAGTTTCGAAAAATAGAGAGCAACTGAGCATGTGCAGAGCACAATAGAGCAATGTATTACTGGATATTAAAAAGTATGGGCACTTATTTTTGTGTTTTTACATAGCTATACCTGCAAAACGGGCCAGCCTGAAGTGATGCAGACTTAACCACTTGACCTCCAGAGGATTTACCCCCCCCCCCCTTCCTGACGAGACCGTTTTTTGCAATATGGTGCTGCAATAAATAATAAATACTTGTGAGCTATTATAAATGAGGTCTACAGTGAATAATAGATAATTAATAAATAACTTTCTACTAGTGTCATGCGCTAGGGGCGCTGGCACTCACACAGACTCACTTACTAGTGTTAATACAGTAACAAAAATATTAATAGTGCCGCGCTCCTATTGCTATATATAATATAATATTAAATATAAATACAATCTACTCTCTTCCAATAATTATATAAATTGAAACCTCAACAAAATCCATAGATCACTATACTTAGTGGGTGAAAGATAATATATAATCACTGTGACTAGTGAATCAAAAAAATGTTATAAAAGAACCTTAGTAAATAGGCCGATCTCAATCAAATCATAACTAATAAATTAAATTAAAATAGGAGTGTGTATAAATACTTAGTGCCACTCATCAATCCATCAATATTGTGCAAAAACATATATTGATATTAATGTGCAAGTGCAAACTTAATAATACATAAATAAATAAATAAAAAGTCTTTTGAAGTAAGTGCAATGTGCAGGTGAATTCCTTATTCCCTTTTGCCTCAGGTGCCTTGTGATCTCCCTATGCGCTCACCTTAATATTTGCCCAAATAAATTCAGGCAAATACGCTTTTAATCCTTCCAGGATTGATGGAATAATGCTGATGTATAGGATGTTTCCACGAGGTAAGTGTAGATCTATTATGGATACTCCTGTACTCTCCTCTCTCTCCTTAGGCTGCTGCTCATAGGTGAGTATTTAAACCAGCTCTTTAGGGATCTCCTTGTTCCCCTCCTGGGGTCACCTCTTTCTCATATCCTCCTTTCTCCAGTGTGGGGAATGTAAATCAGATGAAGAAACAAAGAAAAAAGACCATGGTGCCTTATCCTTTTTTGTAGCAGAATTTTATTGCTGCCAATAGTGGTAGTTCACAGCATTATAAGGTTCTCTGGTGATCCAGGACAGCATAAGCAGTGAGTAAGCAAACCTCTTCCTCTGCCTCTATCTCTCTGCCTGCCTCCGTCCGTACTAAGATCTCCAAGCCTCTCCGATGCAACGTTGTGACGTCAGAGCCCCTCCCCTACGCGTTGCGTCACAGGGTCACTTGACTTCATCAGGGGGAAATGATCATTTCCCCCTGATGAAGTCACATGAGATCTTAGTACGGACGGAGGCAGGCAGAGAGATAGAGGCAGAGGAAGAGGTTTGCTTACTCACTGCTTATGCTGTCCTGGATCACCAGAGAACCTTATAATGCTGTGAACTACCACTATTGGCAGCAATAAAATTCTGCTACAAAAAAGGATAAGGCACCATGGTCTTTTTTCTTTGTTTCTTCATCTGATTTACATTCCCCACACTGGAGAAAGGAGGATATGAGAAAGAGGTGACCCCAGGAGGGGAACAAGGAGATCCCTAAAGAGCTGGTTTAAATACTCACCTATGAGCAGCAGCCTAAGGAGAGAGAGGAGAGTACAGGAGTATCCATAATAGATCTACACTTACCTCGTGGAAACATCCTATACATCAGCATTATTCCATCAATCCTGGAAGGATTAAAAGCGTATTTGCCTGAATTTATTTGGGCAAATATTAAGGTGAGCGCATAGGGAGATCACAAGGCACCTGAGGCAAAAGGGAATAAGGAATTCACCTGCACATTGCACTTACTTCAAAAGACTTTTTATTTATTTATTTATGTATTATTAAGTTTGCACTTGCACATTAATATCAATATATGTTTTTGCACAATATTGATGGATTGATGAGTGGCACTAAGTATTTATACACACTCCTATTTTAATTTAATTTATTAGTTATGATTTGATTGAGATCGGCCTATTTACTAAGGTTCTTTTATAACATTTTTTTGATTCACTAGTCATGGTGCTGCATTACTCTGACAATTGTGTGGTCATGCAACGATTTATGTAATTTTATTTCCCACAAATAGAGCTTTCTTTTGGTGGTATTTAAGACTGACAATTTTGAAAAAAAAAAAAAACTATATTTTTGACTTTTTGCTATAACAATAAAAATGTTAAAAAAATCAAATTTCTTCATAAATTTAGGAAAAAATGTATTCTGCTACATGTCTTTGCTCAAAAAAAAAATCCCAATACGTGTAAATTAATTAGTTTTCATGAAAGTTATAGGGTGTACAAAGGACAGTGTACATATACTGGAAATTTAATTTTTTTTATGACAGTAATGGTTAGCGATCAGCGACTTATAGCGGCACTGCATCGGGCATTCTGATACTGGGGGAGAACTGACTAACTGCTACTGACATTACTGACACTAATACAGTGATCAGTGCTAATAAAAAGCACTGACACTGTGCAGGAAGAGGTTCACATCTGGGGTGATCCAAGGGTTAACTGTGTGCTGTGTTTTAGTAGGGAGACATACTGTTTTGTATCCCTCTGCCCTGCAAAGATAGAAAATAGCATGTCCATGCTGACAGGAGAGAGACTTTACACATAGGTCTTTCCCCTGTCAGCTTTCCCCGACGATCGCCAAGGACGGGACCTGGTGACCGACATCTCTTGCTACCAATAGCAGCGTGGGTAGGGTGGCGCGTGCGCGCACTTCACCCGGAAATACAAATCGTGTGTGTGTGTGTTTTTGCGCAGCCCTGCTGCCCTGTAGCATTACTTCTGCTATAGGGCGGAGGGCAATTGGTTAATTTTCTGACTAAAGTTACACTTTAAAGAGCATCCATTTTTGCCCCATTCATACAGTATTAACGTACATGCAGAATCTGGACAAATAGCTATATAAATGTTTTATAAATCAACCCCTAAAACTTTTTTTTTTTTTTTCCTACCAAGAAAGCAAAATCTTTTATTGAATGAAAAATAAAGCATACTTTTACAGTACAAAGAATTGGATTGTATAAAGGTTAGAAAGGAATGGTAACAAACAACCAAACAAACTAAAAAAGATCAACACGGTGACAATATATATAGAATACCGATCATGACATAAAATAAAGACCTGTACAGAGTATATATTTGCCTGCTGCAGGGGAAAAGCAGCCAGTCAGCATATCCCTTTATGGAAAGATCAAGTCTACCACAGGAAAGGTAATGTGTGAGTAATACATGTATCTATACTAGAAATAGACAGAGAAAAGGAAAATAAATGTACAGTCTATATGTGGGGCCTTGCCAAACCCATTCCTTTAAGGTGCAGGTATCCGCAGATTGCAACCAACGATCCCATGTTTTATTATATTTGCTTTTGCTTTATATTTTTTTTTGGTCTCTTCTGTAGAGTCATAAGCCCTGTTGATGGCCAGTCCATGGAAGGAATTCCAAGTGAAAGGATTTGCCAGGAAACTGATTTTGAAGCTCATGATAAAACAGTAAAGTGTACAGAGGTGAGTGGCTAATTGTCAAGTCATACCTCAGGCAAGAGTACGGCTGTGACAAATCCATTGTACTGGATAGTTTGAGGAAGTGTCTCTGTTAAGGAGATCCACTCTCTGAATTTGTTCTGTTTGCCGTAATCACAGAGAGTGAAAGGTAAAACAGAAAACAAAATTTTGAGTTCTCACCAGAACGGGAATAGAGGGGTAATTTTTCAGTGGGGACACTTGGTCTGATGACAACTACAAATTCTCACTTTTTAGGGATTTCCTATCACATCCTGTTTTGGCTATGGAACAGGAAACATCTTTGAATAAGAAATAGGGGTTCATGTGTATGTAGGCCATTTTTTTAATAGTTTTAGATAGTGTAGGTAATAGTAAAAAATACTTTTTTTTTTTTGTGCAATTTGTGTCCTCTTGGGGAGAATTGTTTTTACTTCCTGCCCCAGGGACACAACAGAAAGTAAGAGGTAAACTCTTCAAAATAAGAGTTACTCCCTGTTGTCACCAGAACAGGTGTCCTGACTATAAGGTTCCCCCTCTGATACTGTTCTGGTGACAACTCCAAATTAAAAAAAAATCTTATACTTCTGGGACTGATGTAGAGAGTGAATCTCCCCATTGGGGACCCAAAAAAATACAAACCTGACTGAGGTACTAGCCTTTTCCCAGGCTACCAAAAACTTTTTAACCTCCCTGGCGGTATTCCCGAGTGTAGCTCGGGGTAAAGTTTCTGTACCAAAAGCGGTAACCCCGAGCTACATCGGGCTTACCATGTGGCGCTGCATAGGGAGTCCCTGCAGAGTTTACCTTGTCCTTCGCTCCCACGATGTGTCCCCTGCAGCGTCCCCAGCCATCTCCTCCGGCTGATGCCGGCATCCGGCTTCTGTGTTCCGGTCCCTGTGACGTCGGGACATACGGGTGGCGGCGGGAAATTTGAAAATTTTAAAAAAGTCATTTTTTTCAAAACGAATTTTACATAGTAAAACATTGCTGTTTCAAACCATTTCACATACATTTTATCCCTAGTGCTTTGTCCTGTTTCCTGTCTGCATTTTGACTGTTCTTTCTGCCTGGAAACTTAGAAAAGTCCATGGCGTCCAAAAAGCGTCCCTTTAGGTCAAAATCGGTTTTAGACCATCTAGAGAACAGCGATAGTAAATCAGAACCACTTGCAGAATTGAGTGATAATGATTCCTGGAGAAATTCGTCATCAGACACTGAAAACAATTTTGCAACTTTGCTCAGTGATGTGCGAACTTGGCGCTATATTTCAAATTTCAGTGTTTTTGGTTTGATTATATTATTGAATTAAATATATTATTATTATATTATTATTTTTTATGATTATTTATTAAATTATCATTTATGATTTTGTGTTTCAAATTTTATCATACCCGGGATGTTTAATAGACACTTGTTCGGACAGATTTCAGTGAGTTATTCCTAAATATTTCAGCCTACAATAAAAAAAACTACATATTTCCATGCAAAATAATGGTACCGCTTTCAGCACCAAAAATCTGAAATATTCATACTGCTAGGGAGGTTAAATGAGTTTGGGCTTTAGATATACATTAAAAAGCTTACAAAACCACAGAGCTCTGTAGAGGTTCTGGAATCTTCTTGGGTTCCAGAAACATTGCCATTCAAATGTAAATTAGTTTGGGGAAAAAGAAAGAAAAACCCTTTCGCTGCATTGTTTTGTACTGTAACAGCAGAACTTGCACCCACTGTTAAAGTGGTTGTAAAGGTATTTTTATTTGAAATAATAAATATGTTCATATCTGCTCTGTGCGGTGGAATTGCACAGTGCGTCCTCGAACCTCCTCTTCTCGGGTGCCCCGCTGACACTCCAGGCTCCTCCTCTCTGTCCAGTGCCCACATAAGAAGCAGTTTCCTATGGGGGCACGTGTGTGCTTGCTCTGGAGCCCCGCTGCTGCTTCCATTGACACAGACAGCAAGACTTGGCCTTGCCCCTGCTCCCTCATGCCTGACTTTGATTGATAGCAGTGGGAGTCCATGGCTTCCAGTGCCCCAGCAAAGCCAGTGAGACCCAGACATTAAGTGAGAGAGGAGCTGAAGACCTGCTCAGCACTGGATCGAATAAGGGCTCAGGATAGTAAAAGGAAGGGGGTGAGGGGGGGATTCTGATGCCTAAACGTTTTTTACCTTTAGTGCAAGGGATGCATTCGGGTAAAAAAGGGTTAGGCTTTATAACTTCTTTAATGCTTTGTAATATTGTGGCTAAAGGACACAATAGTATTCTCAATCTTCATTTGATGAGATTTATATGCTATAAGGGTGTTTTTTTTTTAATGGGTATGCCACCTTGTAGTTTGTGTAACAGTTGTGAAATCCCCAAAACAGATGGGGTTTTGATTTAGAGGAGTTGTGAACATGCAATGATATGGACACTTCGTAGTACAGTTACAACTATGCAGGCACCATGCTTCGCTTCAGAAATGTTGTTTCTTACTTTTTTTTAACAAGTTAAAAAAGTTCTGTCGTGACCATGCCTATCTTCTTCCTGATATTGAAGGGGATTGGGGGCTGTCACAGGACACTGTACGGATACACAGTGTGCCAGTATTCCATAATTTGTCCAGCCTGAGGCCAGATGCTAGCCCTGCTTGAGCATGGGGAGTGTTCAAGAGGCAAGCTGCAATTGGGAGGGAGTGTGATTGGTGTGCTAGTTGAACAAATTACCCAATACAGGCAAGCGGTCTGTCTACACAGTGTCCTGTACCGCTGAATGTCCAGCCAAAGGATGAAAACTGGCCACACTAACCCACATCAGTTTCTGTTCTCTGTGTAGTCAGTTTAGAATAAGGAAGAAATGTGACTGGCAGGATCAACCAGGTACTTCAAAAGGAAGAAGTACATGAAAATGGTGGAGACTATGATTTATAAAATACACATCTGTGAACACACACCTTGAAAAATAATAAATATTTAAGGTAACATACATTTTAAGTCCCAATTGAACCCTCCATATTTACTACTGCTGCATATACAGTAATACTGTATTTGCCGGCGTATAAGACGACTGGGCGTATAAGACGACCCCCTACTTCCCCCTCTTCCAATGCACATGTAGTGGGAGGAATAGTGCCCATACTCGGTGTCGTGGGAGGAATAGTGCCCCGTCATTTCCAAGTGCAGGAATAGTGCCCCATCATTAGTATCAGTGGGGGAATAGTGCCCCATCATTGGTATCAGTGGGAGGAATAGTGACCCATCATTGGTATTAGTGGCAGGAATAGTGCCCCATCATTGGTATCAATGGGGGGAATAGTGCCCCATCATTGGTATCAGTGGGAGGAATAGTGCCCCATCATTGGTATCAGTGGGAGGAATAGTGGGGGGGGAGGAATAGTGCCCCATCATTGGTATCAGTGGGAGGAATAGTGCCCCATCATTGGTATCAGTGGGAGGAATAGTGCCCCATCATTGGTATCAGTGGAGGAATAGGCCCCGTGCTCCATCATTGGTGTCAGTGCCCCATCATTGGTATCAGTGGCAGGAATAGTGCCCCATCATTGGTATCAGTGGCAGGAATAGTGCCCCATCATTGGTATCAGTGGAAGGAATAGTGCCCCATCATTGGTATCAGTGGCAGGAATAGTGCCCCATCATTGGTGTCAGTGGGAGGAATAGTGCCCCATCATTGGTATTGGGGAGGAATCCATCATTGGATCAGTGCTGGAATAGTGCCCCATAGTGTCAGTGTATCAGTGCCCCATCATTGGTGTCAGTGGGAGGAATAGTGCCCCATCATTGGTGTCAGTGGACAGGAATAGTGCCCCATCATTGGTATCAGTGGCTGGAATAGTGCCCCATCATTAGTATCAGTGGGGGGAATAGTGCCCCATCATTGGTGTCAGTGGGGGAGGTCCCAAATTGGTGTCAGTAGTGTCCCAACATTGGTGTCAGTGGGAGGAATGGTGTCCCACATTGGTGTCAGTGGGAGGAATTGGGTGGTGTCAGTGGGAGGAATGGTGTCCCAACATTGGTGTCAGTGGGAGGAATGGTGTCCCATCATTGGTGTCAGTGGGGGGTGGAATAGTGCCCCATCATTGGTGTCAGTGGGCGGTGGAATAGTGCCCCATCATTGGTGTTAGTGGGTTAGGGGGGGGGAATAGTGCCCCATCGTTGGTGTCAGTGGGGGGGAGGAATAGTGCCCCATCGTTGGTGTCAGTGGGAGGAATAGTGCCCCATCATTGGTGTCAGTGGGAGGAATAGTGCTCCATCATTGGTATCAGTGACACCAATGATGGGGCACTATTCCTCCCACTGACACCAATTACACTTGCTGACCGATGGTCTAGTATGGTGCTGCTGCAGCCAGCATATGTGGTTGCAGCAGCACCTCTACACTGAACACTTACCTGCTGTCCTGCACTCGATTTTCGCGGGCCGCTCGGCTCTGCCCCCTCGCTGGTGATTGGCCGCCTGTGTGCCTTTCCTGAGCTACAGTTCTGACGGCCAATCACCGGTGAGGAGGCGGAGCCAAGCAGCCGCGCGAACATCCAGTGGCCGAACTGAAGGAGCAGCCGCGCTTCCTGGACCGGATCGTCATGGGACCGGAGCCAGGTAAGAAACAGCCCCTGCCCACCCCTGTACTTAGTGTCCCTTCCGTTGGAAGGGGGGGAGGCGGCGGCGGCACCGCGCCGCCCCCCTAAAAAGTGTCAGTATGCCGTATACCGGCGTATAAGACGACCCCCGACTTTTGAGAAGATTTCCAAGGGGTAAAAAGTTGTCTTATACGCCGGCAAATACGGTAAATACATTGCTTTCTTAGTTTTGTTTTATTTTGCTTTTTTTTTGTAAGTCCTCTAGCACAGATAAAAATACCAAGTGCTGACAGCATCTTGGAAAGTCAGACAGCTGTTCTCGTACACATGCAGTGCCCTGAGCAGAATAGATGTCAGACTGGGTATTTTATCCCTAGCTGCAGCACTTAGAAACTAAAAAAAAAAACAAACAAAAAAAAGCAAGGTATTTATTACTGCTTATGCATCCTGATTGTATTGTGGTAATAAATACATTGGGTTTAAAGCTGAATCATATTAAAGCTTTTTCTTTTTTTGTAGGTGTTTTATCTTCTTAGAGAGCGCGAACCAGTCAGTGGTACAGCTCATATTCAGTTTGCTAAAGAAATCGCCACAGCCTGTGGAGCTGCCCTGTGCCCACATATAAAGACCTTGAAGAACAGAGGAATGAACAAGATAGGACTTCGAGTCTCTATGGATATTGACATGGTATTTCTTTGTCTTTACTGCCATATTTGTCAGTTTCTCTAAAGAACGTCATAAGTACTGAATTTATGGTAGATCCATTTATGGGTACAGATATCTTTGGTTATTTAAAGCAAAACACTAGTCCATTTTATGGATGTTTTGTGGAATTTTTTAATGGGAATTATGTGGAATTTTTTTAATGGAAATTTTGTGGAATAATTCTGTATCCCAATACTGATATATTTATCTTGTCCTTTGTTTTTAGGTAGAATATCGAGCAGGGTCAGGAGGTCAGCTTCTCCCTCAAGTGTACCTAAATGACCTGGATAGCGCTTTGATTCCTGTCATCCACAACAGGACATCAGACAGCAGCATATTGCCTTTGGTGATAGAACTCATTTTTTACCTAATAGAAAGCCTCAGTTAGCATAAACGTGCATATGTGGCTTGTGTTTTATTGCACAGATCAATCGGATGAGCCTCTCAGACTTAATATTTCCTTCACCAGCTTCTTAGTTAATTAGCCTCTCTATGCAGGAGAGCATAATTTCGGTGTGGTGATTGTGCATTGCTATATATAAAATAGCAAACTTGCACCTTCAAGGCCAAACAATGCAGTTTGTGTTCTCACATTCGCTTTCATTCATTTCATTCAAGGTTAAATGTTGTATACATTGGATACCATTCTAGCCACAAATGAAGCAAAGACCAAATGTTTATATTAAATATCTCTGTTAAAAATCTGAGCTCAGTACAATACCAACTAAAGGTTAAAATGAAATGATTGTGCACCTTATTCACTGCCAGGCAGCGTAAACATATAAGCACATGTTATATTTCAAATATGTATTCACCTGATCGTTACGAATTTGTACATTGTACAGGTCTTTATTTTCCTGTATTCTGCTTACAGTGACAGTGTGTGCTCACTAGAGTGACCACAATTATGTGGTATTTGATCAATTAAGCAAAATAATTCTGTCTGTTGGCTTTGGTTCATTGTGGGATACACTGATTTCTGAGATATACGGAACTTAAACAATGAATATTTAAAGCAAGCAGGATAGATCATCGTATTATTGATGTGCCAGTTTGTGCCAGTTAGTAACCAATAGACTTGTGCCTTCATTGTCAACTTGTGACTAGAATGTATTTAGACAATTTAAATTGTCTAAATACATTCTAGGTGCACCAAAACTAAAAGTGTGCAAATTCTTATAGTTTGTTTTCCTAATAGAGTTGTCACAGCCTGAGCAGAAGAGCCTGCTTCTTTCCAGAATGCGGTATAGAAGGACTCTCTCTGATCTCTGCACTTAAAGTGGTTGTAAAGGCTCAAGGTTTTTTTTACTTTCATGCATTATCTGCATAAAGGTAAAAAACTTTCTGTGTGCAGCTGCCCCTCAGACCCCCAGTACTTACATGAGCCCCATCCAGCAATGTGCACGAAAGCCTCGGCTCTCCAGGGTCTCTTCCCCCTCATTGGCTGATACAGCAGCGGGAGCCATTGGCAGTCACAGCCAGTGAGCCATTGAGGAGAGGAAAGGGGCAGGGCCGAGCAGCGGCTCTGTGCGTGAATGGACTTGCATTGCAGTGTCTCGGGAGTGAGCCTGCTTGGGTGACCCCATAGCAAGCTGCTTGCTCTGGGGGCACTTGGCAGGAGGGGATGGGCCAGGGGACACAAAAAGAAGGAGCAGGGCTGCTCTTTGCAAAACCACTGCACAGAGCAGGTAAGTATACCAGGTTTGTTATTTAAACAAACAAAAATAAAAGCCCCCTGCTGAGTGAGGACTAGTGCTTTTCAATGTGTAGGGAGCAGGATGCTGGCAAGGGAAAGGCTTTTCTTGGGCTGTGTGCTTCTTGGGGGGGAAAAAAAAACCTGAGACTTTAATCACTTTTGTTTTGATGCACCTGGGATGTATTTATATGCTTTATCCCTGGTTCACACTGATGCGGTGCAATTTGCGTTTTCAAGTGTGATTTCAGGAGTAGCTGTGGTGTTTTTTTTTTTTTTTTTTTTTACACAGCTGCGATTTCTGTGATTATTAAAATAGGTGCATCTCACACTGAAATTAATTGCATTTGAACAGCTATGCATTTTTACTGCTGTTTCTGTTCAAATGTATGAGGCTTAAAAATGCACCACATGGCACCAAACACGCACAGGAACCTTTTGGAAATTGCATCGCGTATGGAACGCATAGGTGTGAATGAACACCATAGAAAGCCATGTTATCTCCCTTGACATGCGAATCTATATGTTCTGGAAAGCATCAGAACTGCATCAATGTGAACCACGGCTGAAAGTGAATGTTTTATTGGGCTGTAAAATATGTTCGGTGCTGGCATTAGTTTTTTTCATTTACACAAAAAGTCTGGTTAAGGGGATTGTTCAGATGGGATTTAACAAAATAGCCAACACATGCCTATAAGAAATAATCTTGTTCACAGAGGAGCTCTAGAGTTCTCACTTGCAGTAAAGGTTTCTGGGTTTGATAACAGGGAGGTTTATTGAAACACTGGTGCAGCGATCATTTATATTCTGCGTTGTTAATATGTAACTTATGCTGTTTAGCTTTACTGGTGCCCTCCCAATCACACTGCTGGATCAGTTTTTCGTTAATTGCTGAATTGTGCTGTCAGTCTGACTTTAATGCCTCACCTGAGCGGGCTGAAAGAGAAAACGGAGAGAGGGCGCTGTACTAACTAAGCAATGTTAATGCGGCAGTCTTCCCCGCTAAGCTATTGTGTTTTGACAGGGGTACTGCCCCCCTTTCCCACCAGAACACACTGATCAGCTCTCACAACTATTGGCTGTAAGTGCTGATTGGATGCTGGTCTTTCAACATGCCCGTTCAATAAAAGCCAGACTGGCTTCTGCTGGACAGGCTGCTGTACACATGGATCGAATGTTGGCCAGTTACTGTTGAACCGGCCTATACCGGACGATATTCGGCCTGTGTGTGCCAGCCTTTTGGGTATCAGAGAGGTGCTTTGAATGCTGCAGTTTTTTTTTTTTTTGTTATTAAACAGAATCCAGCTAAGCTCAGAATTGTATTCTTTGCTTAGTAAAAAGAATGGATGGGAAAAGCTTTAGCCTGTAAGATAGCACCCTCTCTCGTTTTTGTCATGATTCAAACTGATGTTGAAACTCTCTGCTTTGTATTAATTTTAAAAAATGTTTATCTGCAATACATTTTTTTTAAATTTAAAGGGGTTTTCCATGCTAGGCAGAACACAAATTTCTGCATCTGACCTCTCCATTGTTAGTTTTGTAGCTCTCCTAAAAACATACACATTAGAAATACTAATATACACTGTTTACTTTTGTTTGAAGTAACACTACAGCCATTCGGATGTTGCAGAACTCACAAACCACCTTGCTATCTAAATGCCTGATTTTACCTGCAGTGGCCCTGCTGGTAGAAAATGAGCACATGGGGCACATGCTGACAGCATGTAAATTTTGCTTGTAGATTAGACCTTCTGTTACTAAATGAGGGGCTCATGCAAGTTAAGCACTTTAATTTGCTTAGTGGACGACCCCTTTAAAAGAAGTTTCTGGTTCTAAATGGAAAAAGCTTTGTATTTGCTGTTCGTAATGTTTCCAATCCCAAACTCATAATTTAAATTGCAATTAATGTGTGAATATCCTGTTGTATGCATAAACCCTATTGTTATTCTAGAATCTGTAGTATGTATTTTTATTTCATGTTTTTTGTTCTGAAATGTGTCCCTTCCGCAAAAGAGGAAAGCAAAAAGCCTCTTTGGAACCAAAGGGTTCATTTTAATAACTTTATATTCAAAGAAGCTATATTTAGATATAATATTGCTATATGGATTAGATGCGAAATATACTTTGTATATTTATAATTATACAAGCAATAATTTAGAAATGGCACACATATATTTTTCTACAATGTTAAATTCCATGACGTAATGTATCTAGTTTGGTCATATTATATATATATATATATATATCACACACACACACTAATGTAAAATGAACATTTGTGATCCACTCTTTGTTGAAGCATTTGAAATGAATATCAGAATGTAGCATTTCTGTGTTTATATGTCTAATGTGCTCAGGCTATAAATACTGTATTTAAATGTAAACCAGATAAGTGGGTACTAAATATACCAGACAAGGAAAGCTAGTACGGCAAGGCATTTCATATCAATGTAAAATTGTGATGTGTAAGTTGTATTTAATGCTTCACCATTTTTAGAAGAATGTGGTTACCTGTAGTATCTTGGAAAACAATAGACCTTATACATGGAAGTGACTAAAAAGAAACTCTTCCTGAGGGGGGTCTGTATATAAAACATTCAATGTCACCCACATTTATGCAGGGTGCACAAATTTTGGCTGTTTTTTTGTTATTATAGTAAAGTAATTCCTATGATCATCAGTTCCATTTAGGGGCCAATGTGTGGTATGTTTTCTCATTGAAGTATTTCAGAAAAGTGTACTGCATTTTGGCCACTAGAGGGCACTGATAATCCCAGGAAGTAATCTAGAACAGAAATTAGGGCCACAATACATGTAGTCTGCATGAATGTATGTGACATTCATCCAAATGTTTTATAAATGGACCCCCTAGTGTATGTAAACCAAACTATATTTTTTTTTTTATAGAATACGCAAGGGTTATTGCTATATTGAAAAAGCCAGTTCACCAGGTTCCTACCTGGCTTTTTCACCTTGGTCTTACATGTTACCATTGTTGATGACTATCCTGCATTATAGCAGAGCACCAGGAAATTTTTTCTTTTCCAAATTTGAAGTGGAAATAATTGCAGTTTATCACGTTAAGTATCAATGTACTTCTTTAATATTTAAATCAAAAAACTCTTACTATACTTTGGGCCTGCTTTGGTTCTCATACTCACAGTATTGTTAGCCCACCTTTCTTCCCTGTGAACAGTTTCACAGAATACAGAGCACTGTATGATGGGCAGGGGAGAAGATGAGCAGACAAATGAAAGTGCAGCTTCTGTTTATGAGAGTCATACACCTCATATTAACAATGCCGGAAGTGTAGCGATAGCTATACTAATCCGTCCTCCATGAAAGTGTAACTATTAGAGAAAGTACAGCCATGTTTAACGTGACATACAGTTCATAAGACTTAACTTTTATTTACAATGCAGATTAAAAAAAAAAAAAAAATTCCCTAGAGTTGTGCTTTAAGATTTGTCATATGAGGAGTAAGCGCTGCAGGACAATATTGTGCTTTAGGTCTTAATTGCTGTCCGTGTCCCTTCTATTGAAATGTACTCTCTATTTGTATACCTTATCTCAAAACAATTGGGTTTAGCTAAACTGTAAAAACTGTCTTTGCTGACTTGCCATTCTGCAAATGCTTGTTGCCTGGCTGTCATTCTGACCCTTTCAATTAGCACTGATTTACCAACTGATTTTTA